CTCTTTCATTTTAAGGAATGCCAGAGGATCACCTCCACTTTCATCCTCCTCCTCAGAAGATGAAGATGAACTTTCATCTGACATATCAGCATCACTATCTAAGGGAATGAATGAACAAATAAGTAACTCTTCTTTCCTCTTGATTTTTGACATGGAGCACAAACCGTTACCAACATTAACACAAAACTGAAAGTTACTTTTAAAGTTCATCGATAATTTTGGTTGTAAGTTCCAAGCCAGTCCCCAGAAATCATAGTTCAATCTCTTCACCCTTGGTACCTTTATGGACATGCCAGTGGACATCTGGCTGAGGCACTTCAAGCTTGGGTTGTACAGCTCTTCCTTTTGGTCCTCTGTTGACAATCTCTTCTTGAAATCTGCCCAACAAGTCTTTGAGTTTATCAGTCGCAGAAACTGAAGATTGATTCTGCAACATGGAAATCAATATGAAGAAACTTATGAAGTTAAATTAAATTTGCCATTAAAAGCAAAATTGTCAAAGGTGGTCCATTAAATTTTAAGTAGGCAACAAAAGCATTAAAACGTAAAAAGTAAATGGGCCGACTTGGGAGAGTTTTGTACCTTTTGCATTTTAGGATCTGCAGAGTAGAAGTTTCCTCTAGGTGAACATTGTATCCAAGGTGGATCATCTTCAGTTGCAGCATCATCCATCTTGTCACCTTGATCAGCACCAGCAGTTAAAGTGAGTGGTTTGTAGGATTCCTCGAGGGCGGCTGTCTTAGCTTCAAGTTCATCCCATCGTTTAGTTTGGTTTAAGGGGGATCTGTAGGCAACAATTACATCCCACAAAATGACTATTTAGTCTAAGAATTTATCACTTTTTCCTTACTGTTAAAACAATATTGCAGATCTATCAACAGATGCCAAACTGATTAAGTTCATACCGTCTCCTGTGTCTTCTTCTGTCTGTGTATCTACTTGTGTCATCTTGCTCACTTCGTTTGCTTGGTGACTGAGATGTTCTCTGTCTCCTTAGAGAATGATCATGCCTTGAGCAGTCTGCCTTCAATTCTCCTGGAGCTGGTGACCTAGATCTTTTTCAAAGGATGAAAACTTCATCAACTTCCTATGCATCTACTCTGTAATTCCACTGGTTACAGGTGGGAAAGTCATAGCTACTGCCAATTAAAGTATGACTTCAGGCTTTGCATAATAAAAAAGGGTAGGTCTGAAAACTTAATTGGTTCTTCAGAGAATGTTCTTCAGAAAAAGGAGGAAATTTCTGTATTTGGTTTTTAAAATATCGCTCATCTTTAATATACATAAAAATGACATCTTGGTTATACTAATACATTGTACAATTTGTTTTGCATCCTAAAGGGAGGTAAGTAGAATGTTTTGAAATGCTACCTTGTTCTCCTAGATCTCCATTTTTCTGATAGTCTATGAGGTGACCTTCTATCATAGGGTGATCTACTACGTCTTGGGGACCTATTATGTCTTGAGGAAGAACCCCTAGCTGGTGACCTTCTCAAACTAGGTGATTTTTTTCTCACTGGAGATCTCAATTGTCTTGGTGATCCACTACGTCTCCTTGGAGATCTGTCTCTAGATGGGGATAATCTTCTTGACATTTGACGAGGACTTCTTGATGTTGCTGAACTTTGAGCATGGCTAGGCCCTACATTACTTCTACAGAGTGCGAAACAAATTATAGGAATGAAGAACAAATATGTCATTCAGGCTTCTACATTTTGCTCAGTGGGAAAGATAGTTTCATATGCCATCTGCTCTGTGCAGGAACAAAAGAGGGTGTGCTTTGAAAGGAAATTCACAGTCGCATAGGCTCACAAGTTTATGCAGGTGTGATGCGGAGCACATTGTGTACAAGCAATGAATTTAGTGTGGCATATACGGTCTTCGAGTGTGTGCCAAATGTGTGCAAGAACCCGGTTGGAAAACTTACTACCATATCTTTCTGTCACCAGTGAGGGTACACTTCAGCTCAGGGTGGATACCCAAAGACACAACTTTGGGTTGATTTAACTATCTGACCAAGTAAATGCAAGAACAAATGAGTACAATGCAACATCACATCCAGTCATTGTGAATAGAATGCTCCATGGAAAATTAACTCCCATGGATTGAAGTGTGGGTATCACAAACCTTTTTGCCTTAATGCTTGACCTATCATCCCGAGTTCGACTCCTTGATTGGTCAAGATCTCGAAATCTCCCTGGTTGGTCATATCTTTGCTTATCTCTGTCATCCTTGCGATGGTCTCTTCTGACTGTTTCATTAAGATTCAAAGAGTTATCACTTTGTGGCAAACCAGTGGGTTTACTTGACTCCTGAGGTTTGTCGTAAGCCTGATCACACACATGACCTGGGCCTGGATGTTGGGGCAACTCTGCTGGCTCTGGATACGGTGTGTAAGGTGGTGGGGCATCTAGAGGGATGGGACCTGGAGGAGGTATCAGCGGTGGAAAAGTTGGAGGAAATGGAGAAAAGCCACAATATCCAAGAGGAGGGAAGCAAGGAGGAGGAAACTGAGGATGAGATGGAGGACAGAGATTATGCTGTCCTTGAGCATCACCAGGTAAATTGTTCAATGGTCTAGTCTCCTGGTTGAACTGATCTGTTGCAGGACCATACCACATCTCCCCTTGATCTGGGCCAGGAAGCCGTTGTCGGGAAGGGTGTGAGGGTCTTGGGCCTCCTCTCATTGGTGGTGGACATGTTGGAGGTTGCCTTCTACCAAAAGTAAACTCTTGGGGATTATGGCCAGACATCGTCTTTGCCCAAGCAATGCACTCAACTTTGGAAACCTACATGAAATGAAAAGACACATTTCTCTGTTTATTACTTGTCATTTATTTTAGTCATAGTTTTATAAATACACGGTTGCAGTTCAAATCCATGGACCTTCAACACTGGCTTGCACAAACCTGGAATGTACAAGATCCCCTGCCAATTTGGCAAATTGTACATAGGTGAGACCGGCACAAAGCCCATGGCAGGAAAGGGTATACAACAAGTCTGCCATCATCAAGCACTCCCACATTGAAGACCACAAGATCAACCGGAGCAAACCCAACCTCATCACCAGCATCAAGCACTGGCACCCGTTCGACATCAGAGAAGCCATCGAAATCATCAAGAACAACACAGTAGCACAAGACATCAGTTTCCACATCAGCAACATCTAGCATCCCATCCACACATCCCAGTCCAATGGGTCCCCTATACCCCAGGACATTTCCAGCCTATGGGTCTCCTATACCCTGGGTTACCTTCCTCCACACTCCCCTCCCTCAGACTGACATGCCTCACTGGTTTGCCAGCACCCCAGTGACCTCAGTTGGATCCGGAGTTAGCATCCTCTTCACACCTCACTGCTCTCTACACACCATACAAGCTGCATCATCACTGTACCCTCCGCAGTGCATGTGCCGAGTGCTGCGTGTGCAGCCTACCTTGTTTTCCATTTTTCATTTTTTTTTTTTGCTTTTAAAGCTGAACATCTGAACTGACTAGTTCAGTTTAAACATGCCATGTTTGATGATTTTTGGTGCGGTTCAGCTGCCGCACTAGTATAGTGTTAAACATGACTGCATTCAAAACTAAATAATCAATATTAAGCACAGTGCGATCACCATAAAATTTGGCATAAATGTTCAGCATATCCATCTTTGGTCAGTTACATTTAAAATGAGATAGCCTGATAATTGTTGAGATTTTTATTTGAGATTCAAATTTGCTAGTACTAGTAGCATGTAAAATACGGTCATAATGTTGCATTACAATCGAAAACTTCTCTCGAAACAGAAAACGAAAAATGAACACAATACATATTAAACACAGACAAAAATTACACTCTGAAACAGCAAGCACCCTGACAGAAAATGCATTTTTATGTTATCCCATGTTCCATGCATACTGTGAACAGTGCAAGAATTTAACAAGCAAGCAATGCTCCCAGTGCATGGCTTATGACGTTATAGTTTTTCAAGTTGTTATCTATAAATTTGTTCGGCATGTTCAGTGCAATCTTGACTCTTGAGCAAACTTATTGTACTTCCTCCTCAATGGAGTAGACCTATATCCCATGAATGCATTTCTTTCAAAGCGAAATCATCTCAGGATGGAGTGGATGAGAAGGATCTACCAATACAATAAATTCGCGCAACATTTTTGAAGATTGCGCCGACATGGCTAAACAGGTTCACTGCCAAAACCCAACATATTTCTTTACCATTTCACTGACACGACTGACAAAATCAGACCACACAACTAACCGTTTTCAAAATCAATTAATGGCAGATAAATATTCTTTTTTTACCTTGAAACATCTGTGCCAACAAAGGGAACTCTTGTGCAAGCTGCCAAAAAATGCTTGCTTCTCTCCCAATTAAAAAATAAATTAGTCAGGATCTGATGACTTAACTCAGACATACCACCAAATCCATGTCCAAGTCTAGGGACCAGCCTATGATAACATGTTGTCTGTTGCCTGTTGGTGGCGCTATAATACTTTAGCAGTGTGTTCTTCCGCGATCGCCTACCTGGTACCTCTTCCCGTTTTACTCAGTTGCGATATTTATTTGTTCACAATCTCTTGAGTCAATCAGAATGCCCAAAGTTATATCTCGAAGTATTGTGGTGTCTGACAACAGAGAAAAGGAGGAATATGAGAAGGACAGACCTCTTCAAACCTACTTCTGTTTATGCGGCCAAATGGTTCTGATCATAGGTTGGTAGGCTCGCGATCGATCAGCGCAATCTTGACTCTTTTGTGGAAATTTATTGCAGGCTACTCCCTCCTGAGTTGAATTCCTATGCATAGATTGTATCCTAATGCAAATCATTTAAAGATGGGGTACAATAAATTTGCACAGGATTCAAGTT